AACTGTTGCACTCAGGATACCACCACTTGGGGACCTAGTGGCAGAATACAACGGTGTAAAGCTGTTTACAACGGTTAGGGACAGAAGGCAGATGTTCGCTGTGTGAACGCCGGTAAGTACACCGATTGCAACCGGCACCTATTCCGTTGTAAATGCCCCGTCTGAACGCACCCAGAGAGAGACACAGGAGCCAAAGATTCAAAGACTTGGTGTCTGGGGAAACCACTTTCAGTGTCTTGGTTGGGAGTCTGGTCCTGTAATGGACTAGATGGCATTAACCAATCTGTAGCTTGTGGCAATTAGATGGGAGAACTAGATTTCACTGGGACTGTGATTGGCTGTGAGACAAAAGAGAGAGGACTCTCTGGCCTAATTGCTTCAGAAATGGTGAAATCTTGAGGGTTTCCTGCCCTGGGATTTAGGGGAAGGAGATACATGGGTATTAAAAAGGGGGCCAGCCAGTCTTTGGGTCAGCTGAGGGGCTTCCAGGGCGGCCATGTTTTGAGAAGGCCGTCAGAATCAATCAACCAGCCCCTTGACCAGATGACCGGCCACATGAAGAAAGTAACTGGGATGATTTTTAATCTAACCACCTTGGATCCAAGAAGTTGTTGTATGCACAGTTTATATGTGACACTGTTATGCACTCAGCACTCTGTCTGCCTTAATAGACTAACCTTAGTGGACTCAGTTGGCACCTATGACATACACAGACATACAGATATGTTAAGTGCCATTGATGATTCTAATTAGAGAGATAGAAATCAATTATGAATATATATTCAGGTATTCACTTTGGTTCAATGCTTAAATGTATTCTGGGAAAAATACTAAATGCTGACAGGCAGTGACTGATTGCTTATAATCTTGCTCGTGATGGCTAGCTGTGACTGCACATGTTCCTGATGTCAGCTCGCTTGCGTTAGATGGTGAACATACTGCATGGTGAACCCATATCTGTTACATTAGATACTTTTTGGAACCTCACCGTCTGAGAAGAAGAAGGCCTATTGTTTAGCTGTAGGAGGTACATTTTTGCCTGTGAAAATCCAACCCACAGGTTCGGGCCCAATCAGAATGGTGTGACGGATATATGACAAAGTTTGATGGAACCAATAATTATGATTTATTTCTATCTCTGTAATTTTAATCATCAATGGCACTTAACATATCTGTATGTCATAAGTGCCAACTGAGTCCACTAAGGTTAGTCTATTAAGGCAGAGTGCTGAGTGCATAACAGTGTCACATATAAACTGTGCGTACAACAAAGTCAAATTGTCCTGTCTTTAAACGTCACAGGGGCAACTTAAGTCTTGGGGAGATTAAGTGTGTTTTTACATGCTCAGATATCTTAGTCTCACGGAGTTCAACAGTGGATTGTTGTTTTTTATGTGCACTTACTATATGCTGTGCTTATATACTTCTAGGAATAAGGCCCATTGTGGAAATAAATACAATGAGCACTAGAAAGAGGCTCTGGGAGAGTGCCAAGGCTGTGGGCACTCAGAATCAATTTGCCATGGCAACCTCAGCAGGGTATAAGGACACAGAGTCCACCATTTTCTCCAGGGGAATGGATCAATGCCATCTGGAGAGCAGTTGTAATTCTGAGTGATCTCCGGCCCCCACCTGGAGATTGGCAACAGTGGTTCCCCATTATGGAATGGCTGGTTTGGAGGGCAGAGTCTATGGCATTGTACCTGTCTGAGGCCCCACTCCTCCTCAAACCTCACCCTCTCCAGGCTCCATCTCTCAAATCTCCAGGATTTTCCCATCTGGAGTTGGCAACCCTATCTACTTCCCAGCCAAGCATCAACCTACATTTCCCCCTCATTGATCAACTTTCCATCTCCTCCCCACCAGCAGCCCCCTCCATGCTCTGAAGCCTGTGCTCTGTGGCAGTAATGGGGTGACTGTTGGCACCTTTTCCTATCATTTTTTGCCTTGTGGTATTCTGCTTGTGGTGTGATCTGTCTTTTTTGTGGTGTGGCATGATTGTGTTATTGGGTTTGTTTCTTTTGAAGGGGAAGTGATGTGTTGTGAGTGAGGACATATATTACCTCAGAATACACCAGGTCCCATATGCAACTGACAGTTCCAACTGTCTCGCCGGGGGAGGGGGGAGTTTGAGGTGCGGAATGGAGTGAAGTCCAGTCAGCTTCCATATGCAAATGACCTTGAAACGCTGGCCCAATCAGAGAAGAGTGGCCTAGGCTGCAGTGGGTGGGAGAGAACTCAGGCAACACAGCCAGTGGATAGAGACACCTTGTGATTGACACATCACGGAGCCAACTGTTTTTGGAGTGCATAGAACTCCAGAGCACGACGGAAGACAGGAGGGCTTGGTGTGATGTGGTGTATGGGGTCACAAAGAGTCGAGTGAACAACAAAAATATACTATATTGCTGGAATTGGTGTCTTTAAGTCTCTGCCCTCGCTTAAAACTGTGGGTGGGTGGGTGTGTCCGTCCCTCCCTTCTCTCTCTCTCTCTCTCTCTCTCTCTCCTCCAACCAGCCAGCCAGTCCACACAGCAGGCACAGTGCACAACTCAGCCACACAATAAAGAAAAACACAGCCCTACCCTCCAGTCGGGAACTCGCTTTCCAAAAGGGGAACAGCAGAGCAGGAAGGCTCGGGCAAGGAACCCCGTAGCCACGGCAGCAGCTGCGAGCCACCGAGGGAGGGCGAGCCTCCTTCCCCCCCTCCGCCACCTTGGGCAAGCTGCTCTCTTGCACCGCTCTGTGTGCCTTAAGCATTAGAACCACTTGGGAAGCGGGCTCCTTATTTTCCCAAAGAGCAGCGGGG